TCTCAAGAAAGCTACTAATCTAAGAGTTCCAAGTGGTGAAACTGAAATCATCCCTTCGAAAATTTTACAGACGCCATCACGAGTTGGTTGACCGCTATGGAATATCTGTTTCACAGATGACGACGGATATGTTCCAGTTGGCGTAACCACAAACCTGTCCTCTCTATTTTGAATGTGACCTACCGAATTAATTTAGTTTATAAACCGATTTTTCGTGGGCCTCGTGTTGCTCAGTCTTTAGTTTTCCATCTATGTTTTGTGTAATTTTGTTTGTCTATTTTTTTGCAATGAAATTGTCATTTTTTCGACATTTGATTTTGAATAGAACTCTGGCATCTTTCTCATTTATATGTGTTGCAGAAAATACATTTGTGATAAGATTTTTCAAAGGACTTTTAATGTGGTAGGAAGATTTTTGTTTAATTATATTGTGTTTTGAAGAGAAGTGTAGAGAGTGTCAATCGAATTGAAAGGACGCATTCTTTATCTAATATATCCAAAGAATTTTTCATACTCCAGAAATAATTAATACAATTATTTCAATTTGCTTTATTACAGAAGGTCATAATAAGTTCTGTAGTATGAAGGATATTTGACGATTTTTTTGTAGTTTAGATAGTCAATACATAATAGAATCATTCAAATGTTTAAAGGAGGCCTTACGTTGAGCTGGAGTGCACGGACCTGAATGTGAAAGAATATATTATTCTATTCATAAGAAATTCCATGTAGGATTTACATAATACCAACATCACATTGTTTGCTGCTCTGTCGGCCTGAATGAACAAACCAGTTTGGGAATAACTGAAGTTGTTTATATGCAAGAAATGTGCATATACGTAACACTTTTATTAATTTCAAAATGTGATATCCGAAAATCAATAATATTCATACCTTTATTCAAATAAGAAGAGGTTTATTTAACAGTTTTCTCCCATTTAAACCAATGTTTTACAATAGGATGAATGAGCATCTTTAATGACCCGACGATATTGTTTTCAATTTGTTATAGATAAAGGACGATATGTTGGTCTTTTTTCAGAAATTTAATAACCCCTCTGTTTTGAATAATTCTAAAACGCGCAATACGCATTTAACCTACAAAAGTTGGTCTTGAACGAATTTGAAAAAAATGATTCAGAAAACAAGTATTGTGCGACATTTGTTATAATTGTACGTGTTTTAGTCTTTTTAACAAATTAAGCCTAGAAAATAAAGAAAACTAAACTGTTTATTAAAGTAAGGAAACAGACATTTCAATCTTTTAAAGCTATGAAACCCCTCCTTGCTATTTAGAATGATAAAGGTGAATTACACAAATATCATACACTATACATGATACCTGCTATCTGTCCTTGCGTAACGTTTGTTAAAATAATAGATTTTGGAGAATTCTCAAATGTAATTGTAACACTATCTTGAATACAAACAGACTTGCAATTGGTCCCGAAATATGTTTGTAGCTTAATATCACGAACAATAATTGTGTATTGTTTGTCAGGGTTCAGAAGAATCGGTTTGTTAATGGTTAAGGCAACGGTATTTTTGAATGACGTACCCGATCTTATGTTTAGTACTTCCCAGCAGATCACGTTTTCCGAATCGTCTGTTAACTCAAATGTGAACTCATTGAGGTCTTCAAACATGTCATAACTGCAATTTGTATTTACTGGTCCGAAAATGATGCATCCTTTGAGCCAAATGGATCTGTTTAAATTAAACTTCAAGGCATGTGGTGAAACGTTTTGCATTGTATAAGTGCACACTGTATGTCGACATATATTATGAGTTTGCCCATTCTTATTTGGGATCCTCGGATGTCTAGGTTTGTCTGAAAACAGTAAACATTTTTCTCCATGATGGTTACGATAAACACTTATGATTTCATCTTTTGTAAGTAACATGGAATGTGAAACTTCGTTTGAAAAATATTTTTTCTCTACAAGCGGAAATCTTATGAAACACATCAATCCTTCTGCTATGCCTCTCATGTTCTTTGCATTTGCCTCTTTGCCATGTATATATATGACACTGGGTTTCTATTCACTTTAGGAAAAATGTGCAAACCTCAGTTTCGGAACAAGAAAGATATTCAGACATTAAAATCAGTTGAACACACTCGTTATTAAGCTTAATTGCATACTTTGATAACAGACATGGTCCTGTATTATCTTCAATGCATTGTAAACTTTCTTTCAGAAGATCTTCAAGGTGGAATTGGTTTGCCGTTGACAGGGTTACAACCGCATCAGAAAATGTTGCAGTTGATCTTAGTAGTTCAGAACATTTCGTCTTGACTGTTGTCAGCATGTATTTTTCAGCTACATATAACATACTCGTAACATTCTGGGTGGATATTTGAACAACATCAGTGTATGCATATCTGATATAAAAGTTCTTATTAATATGAATCGTAGTTACATATAAGCATATTTATAAATCATGCAATAATAAAGTCAAGCACTACCGATTTTTTTTTTCAATTCAGATTGATTAAATAATTATTTTTATGTTGTATAAATACTATCTAAATGTGTTTGCATATATATACTATCAAAAGCCAGAGCCAAAAATAATCACCAACTTGAAGTTTAAAATGAAGCACAACATTTATTGAATCTATAAATGGGCCCCTAAATTATTATGTATCCTAGTGCGGCTAAATGGAAGCCATGCTAAACTCAATCTCTGAAACATATAAATCAACCGAAATTAAATACATACATAAAATTACCAAGACTAGAGGTTCCTGATTTTTAACAGGCGCAAAAATGCGGCGGGATTTAACATGTTTTCTTGCAACATAATAAAATTAGTTAATTCACATCACATTTTATTATAAAGTTACTTTATGTGAGTAACCCCCCTTATATCTGAGTTACCTCCCCTTATGTGGCAAAGTTGAAAAAAAATTAAGCAAACAAAACTATTCTGCGAAATATAGCCGTAAATATGATAAAACACTTAATTTTCTATATTAACACGAAAAGTTTTACACACAAATTACATGCTACTTTCGATGGAGGAAAACACTCAAGCTACCTTACGATTTCCGTTGAAGATACCGATATCAAGATCCAGGGAAGGGCAGTGTTAGTTGTTATTATTTCACGACGCAAGTAATCAAATAAATCATTCTTTAAGGTACCATACAGTCTTCAACAATTATATGTCTACATTTAGATTAAACTTTAAATCGGCATGAGTAAAAATACATATTTAAAAAATAGAACAGATTAGCTGAATTATCTATCGTAGAGGATCTTACAAATTAATGTAGGATGCAGTCACAGAAATAATTATATTATAAGTACGTCTGAACCAGTGACAACTCGACGACAGATTATATCCGACTATAACGGAAGCAAATTCTTTGTTCTTCCCTTGCCGGGATTCGAACTCATGCTATTGAGATATCGTGGCCCCAAATCACTTTGCACTATGCCCGACGCGCTAGACCACTCGACCACCTAGGCTCTACAAAAATAAAGCTTTCGCCGGCCGGGTGTTACCTTTCCTCGTCAGTTTTTATCTAGCGTCGTAACTCCGTACATGATATATAAAGCATGAAGATGGAATTTTTACAGATCAGCTGAATTATCTATCGTAGAGGATCTTACAAATTAATGTAGGATGCAGTCACAGAAATAATTATATTATAAGTACATTCTTCCCTGGCCGGGATTCGAACTCATGCTATTGAGATATCGTGGCACCAAATCGCCTTGCACTATGCCCGACGCGCTATACCATTCGACCACCTAGGTTCTACAAAAATAAAACTTTCGGTGGCCGGGTGTATTTTGTAAGATCCTCTTAGGTTAGGATCGTGTTTGTTTTTGTAACTGGTCAGGTTTGTTGACTTCTGATTAAATTATCGAGTGAAATTTGTAAAGTCAAGTCGATTTGTTACTATTCCGCACGTATATGCATATCAGATATATTCACTTATTTTCAATTACATCTAAGTTTTGAGCACGAACGACACATATTGTCATTTCATTTTGCGAACAAAGTCTTTTCGTGCTCTACAGCTTTTCTCAAACTAGTCCAAGTTTAGCAAGGCAAATAAATCAAGAAAACAGATTTTTTTTTTTAAAACTGACTAAATCTATTCAGTAATTGTAACGTTGTGAGGGACAATTACTTAAACACATAATATGTTGATCATAATTGACTATTATCATTTGAAAATTAAATTTCAATTCGATATAGGAATATGTTTTATCAACAACATAGCGTTATAAGGTACAAAAAGAAATTATTGGATTCTTTATGCTGAGCTTTATTTGGCTTAACTTGTTGGAATTAATTCTCTAGAAATTCGTATTTGATTTTGCCTGCCAATTGTTTTGATTCGAGAGCCAAAAGTAGACTAAACGCGCGTTAATTATGAGCCTGTTATCTTTGACAAGTTATTATAATGACATTAATTGGACTAATTTAATTTTCACCAGATGCCAATTTCGATAATGGATGTCCCTTGGTGAGATTCTCAGAGCCACAATATTCGAAATTACAATTTTTGAATAGCTTAAAATCCATTAATATCAATCCGGAAAAAAGAATCAGAGCGATGCACGAGAGGGACACAATATTTAAAACTTGGAATGATGTTATTATTGATAGCATATCGAAACACAAGGCCCCAATGATGAATATTGTCATACTAAGTATATGGCTGGGTAAGATTTTCAGCCCAATCACGAACACGACAGATTTATTCAAATTTATCCTTTTCTGTCTGTCTGTATGTTTGTCTGTCTGTCTGTCTGTCTGTCTGTCAATCTCGTTTTCGAGGTAAAAAGATGTTGTGTTTATAATTAGGTCCATGTCTTATATAACAAAATATGAACATTGGATATATTTATGTATCAAAAAATATTTTCCAGTTACTGTTGTCCATGACAGAAAGATTTCTTTTACTAAGAATTGTAATTGTGTGAAAAATTCTAACATAAACTAGATTAACACTAGAAGAACTTGAACATTATACTTCCTTACCATACCTGAAAAGATAACAAAAACTAATAAACACGAACATTGTCAGTCACAACACCTACTGTTTTAACGACAGTTATGTCCTGTCACATATAAATAAACATAATTGCATTAGGTTCACCTGCCGCAAGATTCTTTATGGCTTCGAACGTGTTATTATTAATCACCATTACACGAGTTTTTGGATTCAAGGGAATGTATGTAGTTTTAATTAAATGTCATGTCTATCAAGGAGTTTCAACCCATCAAATTATAATTTGTTATCGCTATATTTACTCAAGTTTTCTTTTGATCTTTCTAATGCTAATTTGCTATCTCACTCTACTGATCATGACGTTATCAGCTTATAGTCATCGACGTTACCTGTGAAAGTAACGATAAACAGAATATTTTCGACGTAAAATGTTCTCCCTCATGGAATGCACAAAGCCCTCAGATGAGAAGAGAATGAGAAAATGCATTCGTCTTGCATATGTCTGATCAGACTGACCGAATTTGGCAAATGTATATAATATCGAAAAATGACACTATACGTACTAACCGAAGTAGATCTTTAAATAAATGCTCGTCAATATCAGGAATATATATTTCTCTTTTTTCAGGTAGTGAACCTTCAAACATCGTGTGGAATACCTGACTGCGACTCGCAAGGATATTCCTGTGTGCTTTTATTGTAATACGTCTTTCTCCTACACGGAAAGTGACGTCGCACATCATTTCTTTTTCTAGCATGTACATCAAACAACCTTGTAAGGTTTTATCATCTCTCCATTCAACTGATTCATTGTTTCCAATATTCACCAAATCCATGCTGTTCTATTACCTACTAAAATTGTAAATTGAAAATTAAATACATCATATCATTACCCCTTGGGAATATTTTGTAAATATACTGTAATAAAATAATCGATCAGAACATACATACTATTACTAATGCAAGAATGTTTAAAATCTCACCAAGGAACAGTTTACACAAGCGTTATAATTTTATATCTGCAAATTATGAAACCAAATTGTGTTAACGATATCTTAAATATGCAAAAACACTAATGAGTATATGCTTTTATGAATGTGATGCAAATTAAGGCTGTATTTTATTGCAATGTCGTTACCATGCAATATACTTAAATAAAAATTTTTCCTTTAAAGTCACTGACCTTGCTTAAAATATTGAAAAAATACACATTCAAGCTATTGTTGATTAATCTTAATGTTTTATGTCATATTAAATACGCAAGACTCATTATGGGATTTTTACTTGTTAGAGCAATACCACGTGGTCAAAACGTTGAACTGGACCTTTTTGATGCGTTTCGTGTTGCTCACACTTAAGATTTTAGTGTGGCGTTTTGTTATTGGTATACTTGTCATTTTATTGTTTTTATTTTTGTGTACGTTTAGATCAATTGATAGTTGTTATTTTACACGACCATCACCACTTTTGGATATATTGTGACGGAGAGGTTGGAGTTTAACACACTTGCCACGTACGAGGTTCCAACTTACAACTTCAATGTTGACAGACTAGAGATACAATAGATAACTATAAAGCTACCCAGACCACTCGGCCTACGAAGTCCCGCGTCCGTTTAGATGGTCGGGAGGTGAAAATAGCCGACAGCGTACGATTTGATTAGAACGGTGAATCAGATGCAGGGTAAGTAAATGGATATCTTTCTGATTACCATCTTCCTTCTAAAGAGATAAACATGTCATCAATTTGCTTACTGTGGAAAAGAAAATTTTGTGCATAGAAATTAGTTTTACATATTTAACATTGCAACAACATTCATCGCCGATGGTTGATGTTTGTCAAATTTGTTTTTGAGTTTTTCGTTTGTTTTAGAAATCAGGTTAGTTTCGTGAGTATCTCATAAAATTTGCTTCACAAAACAGACTTATTGGCAAGTATTATCGTTCATAAAAATATACAAATTGGATATTCATTTCTTCGCCTGAAGAAGTGAAGTGCTGATTTTTCTTATTCTTTATGGTCAACAGCACTGTGTTATATGCAGTTGATGAGGTAATCCAATTATTAACATGCTTAATGAAGTTGAGTATAATAACATATAAAGGAGCATTTTTTATTCGGGTAATTAGTCAGGATATATGTAAAAAAGTCCGACTGCATCAATACATAGTCCTTTTGACGTTGTTAATATAAATAAGAAGATGTCGTACGAGTGGCAATAAGACAACTCTCCATCGAAGTCACAATGTATAAAAAGATAACAATTATAAGTCAAAGTACGGCTTTCATCACGGAGCCTTGGCTCAAACCGAACAGCAAGCTAAAAAGGGTAAAAAAAAACTTGTGTCGAACAATTCAAACAGGAACTAAAACTAGCGCATAGTTTTGGTGCAGAGAATTTTTTTCTGAAAGGAAAATGTATTTGGATAAGTTTTAGCCCTTATCAACGTCTGCATGCAGTTTTTTTCTCTAATTTTATGGTAGATTTGCTGTATAGCCTGCTTATAAAAAATTTATATAGAAAACCAGGGTGCTTTTACAATTGAGTAATATTACTAATAAAAGCGTTCATTTTAAAATTGAAATTAAAAAAAAAAAGACGAATGTGTCATTTGGCTATTATTCAAGGTCATTTTTATGGCCCCGGAACAAAGTTGTCGTGGCCATAAAGTTTTACCATTGTCCGTTATTCCGTCATTCCACAACAAACCATTATACGCATTTTTTTTTCTTAACGCCTTCAGATATTGGGCTGATTTTTGGTATGCGAGTTGGCCATGATGAGTTACAGATAAGTTTTAAGTTTTGTTCCACTCTGCTAATTTTTGCTGAAATTACTGGCTTTGGACTTTGATAAATTGTTCTAAACGCCTTCAGATATTGGGCTGATTTTTGGTATGTGAGTTAACCATGATGAGTTACAAATCGAGTTTAAGTTTTGTTCCGCTATGCTGGTTTTAATGTCGTATCAACATATCTTGTGAAAAGTACATCCACTTCCTGTTTGCTGATAGTTTGTTATTTAGCTTTTTATTGATCAAACAAATTTTGCATCAAACTAGTATTGCATTTTAGGTATTAATGTTCTTTTGCAAGTGCGTAATAAAAGTGTGCATTTAAGTTTTTAACTTATTTATTCATCTGTATAGCTTGATATAATTTATGAAAATCAGTTTTTCAACGTTTGTCTTCGGTTTTAATCTTTCGACGATTTTAGCCAAAGTCATCAATGAGGCGACATTGTTTGTCAAAATACTCATTTGATGCAGTAAAAAAAATATAACAGACATACCCAACACCAGCCAGGAACCTATTTTAATATTGTATAATGGTACTGTAATGTACGGAAGCGTATTAGGGCTATCCTTTTTTATTTTTTGTTTTCAAATTATCGACTTTAATCTTGGAATTATCAACTTAAATCTTGGAATTTCCAACTTTAATCTTGGAATTATTAACATTAAACTTGGAATTATCAACTTTGATCTTGGAATTATCAACTTAAATCTTGGAATTGCCAACTTTAATCTTGGAATTTCCAACTTTATTCTTGGAATTATCAAACATTAATCTTGGATTTATCAAATTATTTGATGGCTTATATTAAATTGACCTTCATATATGTTAATTTCAATTTTGTTCTGTTATTATACCACTTCTGTCAAGCTGTATATTATGTATATCTGCCTCTTGTAACAATGTAAACTGTCAGAGTGTACAATTAATACTTGAAATCTTGAATCTTGTCAAACAGTCCACTTCAGTTTGATGTGCTTTACTTTACTTTTTGTTGGTGATTGCTAATGTGAACATCGATGCACATCCGCCTATTCAGCAATATAATATAATATAATAAATGCATGCACGGCATACATGATTACAAATTGATAGTTAAATTTTACATTAGCACCGGGGGTAAAAAGGGGGAGGGGTAACTTTAGGTTGTGCCATTTTTGCCTAAAAAAATTAACTCATTTTTATATTACATTTACTCATATTTGGTATCTATATTTATATTTAAATATATACAAAGAATGGTCCTTACTTATATACAATATTTTAAGTTAAAAATGCATAGATTAAGGGACTTCATATTTATGTAAATATAAAATCGCCGATTGATTAAAATACCACAATTAGCCATTAATATAAGATTTTCAATAACATATTTATATAAGATATGTAGAACATACGCCAAATTAATTTAAAGTTATGAATTTGAAAGAACAATGCATATCGTTATAGAATGTCATTAAAAAGTAGTGTCAAATATATATAAATTCTCGCAAAATTATGACCCATATTTTTGGAATATCCACGTATACCCAATAATAGAAAGTTACACCCCCTTTCATGGATATTAGGCTACCTGAAGCTATACAAGACTTTAGAAACACGTCTATTTTTCTTTAACATTTTACAAAAAATTCAGCCTCGAAAATAGTTATAAGTAGATAAGTATACAGATAAACAAAATACATTATGGGCTTGAAACAAAATATCAGCCATTTCCAAGTTTAAAGTTGGAAATTCCAAGTTTAATGATGATAATTCCAAGATTAAAGTTGATAATTCCAAGTTTAAAGTTTGGAATTTCCAAGTTTAATGTGATAATTCCAAGATTAAAGTTGATAATTCCAAGATTTATGTTGATAATTCCAAGATTAAAGTTGAAAATTCTAAGGTTAAAGTTATTAATTCCAAGATAAATGTTGATAATTACAAGATTGATGTTGATAATTCCAAGATTAAAGTCGACAATTTGAAAAAAAATAAATATTAAACGGATGGCCCTAATACGCTTCCGTAGTAATGCATATGTTTTAAGTGAAATTTGTTTTTTTTGTATAAATCAGTTAAAGGATTTGTACTATGAAATGCCATTTAAATAAATTTAATTGCGGTATCCAATCATCAATTGTACTATAGTTCAATTACTAAAATCCTTTGACGACGCATGATCTTGTGAATCAAGATAAACACCGAACAAAAATATTAACAAGAGAAATTTTAATTGCTTAAGTGTCACACAAA